GCCCCCCCCCCCCCATTCTCGCCAAGTAACCTATGAAGGAGAATACAAAGTCAGCCACGAACATTGATATAATAGGGAGGGGCACTGTGACTCACGGGGGTTGGGCGTAATGTTACTCTCATACATGACGTCATAAGGAGGAGGGCGTCGCGACGAACCTTCCTCTCCTCCCCCCCTCTCCATGAAGGGAAACCCTGTGCGAACGTATGCTTTCCTATTGCAAGTATCTAGTGTACGCACTGCTTATTTGTAAGCAGCCAAATGTATACGCTCGGGCATCTGTAGCAAAGTGTAGCATATTCATAACACAGACACGGAAGCAGGCGTGAAACGACGACAAGCGAGCTGATTTATAGCTAGAGCTCGTTTGTCGTCTCGTGTCTTCTCTCGTGTCCATGTTAAGTGAGCAACAGTTTGTTACTGATGCCGAACTAAAATGACCAAGCGGCCCAAATTCTGAGGTAGTGGGTTCACAGTCGTGTATCTGATTGAAAGACACTAATAATTTGACGGTCATTGCTAAACTTGATCGAATACGAACTGTATCAGTTGTATACCGCCACTGTTCGCGCAGTTCCACGCGGGAGGAGGTGTCGCCTGCGTGAACAACAGCGCTTGTTAGCGGCCATCGCTGCCCTTTTTCAAAGAACCATTTCTCATTCAAATCATGTCACTTTGTTTACTCTTGGGAATGTGCACAGCCGCCATTTTTTACCTGAACGCGTCAGCATCGAATAATCATTCGACAAGCGCTGTACAACGGTGCAAAGCAGTGAAATCAACGAAAACACGTGCATGCCTGCAATGAAGAGTCCTGTGCAGCTGGATTCTGGACAGGCCGTTCCGAGAACCAGACGCGGAGAGGAGAGGAACGAGAACTTAAAGACTCGGTGATTCACTCTCGCGCATTCAGGTTAAAAGAATGAGCTGCTGCACGTGAGCGCACTCCTAACAAACATAAGCGGCTTCGCATACTTTTAAGTTCTGTTTGTTTGCCCATGTTGCTTTTCTATTTAAATATCTAGCCCAGGTTCAAGTTAAAGATCAAGTGACTATTTTCTTCCGTTGTCACTTGGTCATTCTTTTGTGTGTGAACTAGATACTGATATTTTTTTCGGTATTTATTTTTGCTTCTGCGTAAAAACTGTGCAGTAGTTTCTATTAGCTTCATCTGGCAATTATCGTTTATTAAGCTTCAAACTAGCATGTATCCCTCTTTACGTATATTTGCACGTGTGTTTCCATGTCTGCGCCTACATATACGCGCGAAAAAATGTAAAATTACCGCCACCCCTACCCATGCCTGGTTCGCAAAGATTCAAAAGCATAATGTTACATACAAAAGAAGTGTGTGAAAATAACGTTTCTTATTACGCCTTTTCACGTACGGCCCCGGACTGCGCGTTTTTCATCTTGCTTTTCTTTGTCTTACCTCCTTCAGCAAGAATATATTTCGCGCCCCACAAATCTAATCTTTTATTCCTTTTCCTTTCGCCATCTATGAACTCAACGCCTCCCAGCTAATATGCGTGAGCTGTGCCTAATCAATTTGGTGCTGCTAGGCTAAACAAAGCAGGCGCGGCCCAGACGCCGACTTCCGCGTTATGGTGCGAGGCTTTTTGCTTAATAAACGTGGTGGGTGGAGCGTTGAAACAGATGAGCAGAAACGTGTGGAAAAGCTGCAGTTCATGCAAGCATAAGCATCTGCTGAGTAGCCCCGTATCTGAACACATTTCTTTCTCGCTTGCTCCTTCAACCTCTATCTCTTGAACAACTTGTAGGTGAAAACATATGCTTATTTTTTTAAGTTTCAAATGGGCCACGAAACGATTATCTCATCAGCCAAGTATCACGTCTTATGCGGCGCTAGACTCCATTGAACCTCAGTTCAATCCAAAAACACCCATTTCATACTGTCATAAGGTACAACATGCTGCCACGTCTTGCACTGATAAAGACAAAGCGTTCCAATTTCAGCACCTGCCGTTTCATGCTTAGATTATCTGAACGTAAATTGTACATACTATATTTCTTGATATTTTTCTGAGCGGAAGTTTCAAACAACAGTTGGACATGTATGTAACTTGTGAGGCACTGGACCACCGAACAGTACCGCTAAAGCCATTCACCGACAAGGTGGGATGGTCCGTCCCGTGATAACGGTACCGCCGATTGGTGAGGCCGGTTATAGATAAAAACGGACGACGTTAAACTTACGCGCATTATCCCGTTTGTTCTGTTTTCACACCCTGTCTTGTTCGTCAAGCCAATCCCTCACGTACTTGTCATCGGTACCAATAAAAGAAGGTAGGTCACCTTGCTCCATTGGGCCGAATAAGCAACAGCCGCAGTATTTGTGGTAGAGGTGGCAACCTGCAGCTTTTGCTCCGTGGACATGGTGGCAACTGAAGGGAACGCATGGTATCGAAGTGCCAGGAATACGGAATATCTAACGCTTCCACCAGTTAAAACAAGACAGCACTTCACTTTTTCATAGAACGAGACTATTCACACAAATTCACTCGATGATGGCTGAACCAGCGGAAGCGCCGAGCACACCTAATGTTTTCTTTTCACCTGATTGATGTCCCCCACCTTTCCGAGTGCCACTCATTTTCTTTATTACACTAGTTTCGTTTTCACGATTCATTTCTTTTACAACTTCTTCGTAAGTAAGCGCTGTTGCCTGCGGTCTGAGTTGAATAAGAAATTCTTGAAGGTTCCGCTGACATTATGCTTTTCTGGTGCTCCATTCTCAGTTTAATGCAATTGCCAAGTTATGCATTTGCTTGCAATCCACGTTTCAGCAAAGAAGCAGACAATAAATAATGTATATAATGTAAAAGAATAGGGCGTTGTAGATGATGACGGCTCTTTT